AAATGGGCAGCAGGCCCTAATCTTAGCTGAAGATGTTTTGGCAGCTGATTACTGCTGGGTGAGGAAGAGCTGATCTTCTTAAAGGGAGGGACTCTAGATAGACTGGCTCAGTGGATAAACTTTCACTGAGGGATGTCTGGGGACACTAACTTGACATGATATGCCTTAACACACATGACAGAATCCATGAATTCCAGTGCAGGGACTATGGGAGGGTAGAAATGGGGAAGGGGGTATAAAGATTATTAAGGTAGTCTGTATGAAATACACAAGCATTCAATAAAAAATTACAATTTTTTTAAAGATATGTCAATTAATGTAACCAAATAATCCCTCACAAACATTCTCAGCGGCTAACCTTATGTAGATAATTCCTCACAAGTGTCTCTACAGGCTTGCCTCTTAAGGGATTCTGGAGTCTCTCAAGTTGACAATGAACACTAACCATCACAACTACCCATTAATAGCATTTGGGGATGTTTAAAAGTTACCACTGCTTGCATTCCCTGCCAGACCAATTAAATTACAATTTCTGAATGGTACCTGAGCATCGTTTTTTAAAGAAAATTTTGAATGATTCACACATGTATCCGTATTTTCTGTTTTCTGCTAGATTTCTTCAATGCCAGGGATCAGATTCTTGGGTGAGTGCTCTATCACTGAGCCCTGATTTCTGTCTTCTTGAGGCATTTGTCCTTTTGTATTTCGTACTATTATTTTCCATGTCTTCTGTCTTGGGCTTTGTGTTCCCTGGAGTAAAGCCCCTATCTTCTCATTTCTGTAACTTTCATGAATATATAAATTAGTCAGCAAGAAAACATTCTCAACTACACATAGTTTATGTCCTGCCTGAATCAAAAATCCTGCTATTAATGCTAAAGTCTTTGATCTCTGTGAAGTTGCTTGTGATAAAGGGCGTGGGCAACTGCAGTGAAGATAATGGAGAAATCACACTGTTTGGTATTCGCTTTTTAGACACAGAACTGAGACCGAGTTTTGTGTGTGTGTGTGTGTGTGTGTGTGTGTGTGTGTGTGTGTGTTAGGGCAGGGATGTGTGGGAAGACAGAGCCAACTGGAATGAAGGAGTCATGCTGGGGAGCGGTGCCGAGGAAGAGAGGACATCTTAATGAAACAATATATATGAGGATGAAATCCTGTTTCAAACAAACAGATAAATGAACCCAAACCAAAAAATTAGGAGAGAAAAAATAGAATTATCTAATAGACCATCGTAAATAATCTAATAGGAGAGTGAACTAGTTCTTAGTAAGATGACAAAGCAGGGAATTTTCAGGACAGAGACCAAGAAGGAAGTCAAACAGTGTTTCACAGGCATTGAAGGCTTGGGTCAGTTAAGTTTGTGGGGAATGGAGCATAATGAACAACTGAGAGATGTCAAAAGGAATTGGCAGGCTTTGGTGATGCCCTGAATATGGCAACAACAGAGTAGGTGCTAGGGAGCTTTGGGGGTGCCCCTGAGGGAAGTCAGTGTGTTGAGAGGGATAGCCTGTTTAAATGAGTTGTTATTTTGGAGGTGAAGGTCATGAGTTCTGGGAGGAGGTACGGGCTTGAGATGCAGATACGTGTGCCATCTATAAAGACCTTTAAGCTGAGGAGAGGGAGGGGTAGAGGGAAAGACAAAGCATCTGAGGACTCACTCTAGTGTTATGTGCAATATGTTGGTGGGAGTTGCAATAAGAGCAACTCAGAAAGAAAAGGTTGTCTGTAACCTTAGCTGAGGAGAAACCAAGGTGTGAGAATGATGGGCACAGTTTGGTATCTTTCTCAGACATTGGGCAATGATTTGATGCTGCTCCAGTGTCCAGGGGATGGAAAAACAGGGAGTGTGGGAAGGGAGGACCAGGCAAGCATTGCCATTGCTTGCAAGTGAATAAAATGAGATGCTAGATTAACATATGGTGGAATTAATACATGATCCATACAGCTTATCTTGCTGAGAGGACAGGAAAAGGTAATTGGTAACAAGGAAGACATAGAAGGTGCTGGAGAGATTTCTTCATGAGGGAAGCTGTGCAGACTTGTGTGTGAAGGCTGTATTGCTGCCTTTGATTCACTGGAGGCACTTGGGTGGGAGGAGTTGTTTACCCCTGATGGAGAGATTAGAGATCTTTTACTCCTGAAACCTCTTCTCTCCTAGAGGAAGATAACTGGACCCATCCAGGCAGGTTGAAGCTCAAGCCTATTCGCTTGCATATAGATTTTGTTAGTAAGCATGCAATGAGGGCCTGGAGAGATGGCTCAGTGATTAAGGGAACTGGTTGCTCTTGCAAAGACCCAGGTTCAAATCCCAGCACCCATATGGTGGCCAACAACCATCTGTAACTCCAGTTTCAGGGATCCAATGCCCTCTTCTGTCCTCCTTCGAACACTGCAAGACACGGGTGCACATACATACACGCAGGCATAACACTCATACACATAAAATAAAATTTAAATAAAGAAAAATTGTGCAATGAATTTAGCTAAGTATTGGGTGACTAGATCATTTACTTCCTGTACACTTAGCAGTAGGCTCACTCTTGCTCACCATCCAACAAGTGTTTTCTGCAACCTTTAATGAAGACATTTTCTAAAGTAGTGTTAGATGGAGCTGCATCTCAGTGGAGGACTGCTTGCCTAGAAGGCCCTCAGTACCATCCTAAGCATGGCAAAAACAAAAAACAAAGGCAAAAGTAGTATCAATGATGTGTATGATATATTATTTTTATTATAAACATATAGTGCATTTACAAATACTCAGAATAAGCCTTAGGCAAAATTCAATGACCCAGCATTGTGTGGGTGAAGGAAAGTAGACACAGGCTGTGTTCGGTCCAGAAATCCACGACAGAGGTCTTTGCAAAAAAAAACCCTAAGCAATTCTCTTGGAGGAGGCCTGCCAGGCACATTTAATAACAAACATTTAATAACAACTGACCAAACATTTAATAACAAAAAAAGCACTTTGCTTAACAGGCCCAGAGAGATTTTATCTCTGTAGCCGATTTCCCTAGAAGGAAGGCATTTGCCTTTCCTTCTCCTGTCCTTTTTATTTTAATACCAACTGGGACTCATAAACCCCATGTGAGAAAAGACAAGTTTCAGAGGCTGTTCAGAAAGCTCAGGGCTGGGTAAGATTCCCTGCCAACAGCCCTCATTTCCCAAGGGATTCCCACTACAGCTTTCTAGGTTATAAACTATGACTTTGGCTTGAGTGACTGTTTCTTTAGGACTCACCTCAAGTGAGCCAAACACCCTAGCAGAGGCCACAGATGCCCGAGTGAGGGGCACATGCGTAAGAGATGGCCTAACGGCCACTACTGTCATCTCAGTACTTGGGAGACTACAGGAGGATTGTGTTCCAGGCTCGTGCAAGCTGCATACTGATATTCTGTCTGAAAAAACACCCACAATGTACAGGCACAAACACTGTAGGAAGGGCAGCTGGAGACTGGTCCTGGATACCCAGAAACTGAGTCACCTCTATTTCTGGCATGAATGAGGAAAACCTCTAATTAGCCATTTGTTTGTTTCAGCTTAAGGACAATTTTACTGGCGATTACAAGAAAAACAACAGGGCAGGCAATCTGGAAATGTCATCAGCTACCTGGAGGAGAGATAGGAAGAAAGAGAGAGAAAAAAACCAGGGCTTTTGGCTTAGGCAAGGAGGTCCACCTGCAGCCACATGGCAGACACCAGCAACACCGGGGAAGGAGATTCCGCCTCAGCGTCAGGGAAAGCACTGCCAGACTCTGGCCAGGATGCCAAAGAAAGAAAGGGCGACAAACATGGAAAAAGGAAAACTTAAACTTTCCTGAATGGCTCAGAGATGCGGGCGGGCTTCTCAGTCCAGCAGCGAACTGAGGGCTCTGCAGGCAACTGCCTTCCTACTTTTTTAGTTTGAAACTTAACCAAAACGTCTTGAGATGTTCACGGCTAAGGGAGCCTGAGGGATTTCAGTGGCTTCTTTCCCCTGAGCCTGACAGTTCAGCCTACACAGACATACAACGTAAAAACAGTCCCTTTCACATACGTAAGCAGAGTTAAAATGGTGGACCGTCCTAGAAAGGGCAAACTCCAATGCCTCCAATTTGGGCTTCTTTAAGAATCATTCAAACAGTTCGCATAGGGTAGCTCTCTGTTCCTTTCTCAAATTCCCAGAATACCGTGTCAATGAAAAAGCTGCTATCCTGCATACCTTTGAGAATGAAGCTCATAGATGTTACCTTCGTTTCTGTGCTTTTACTTTGCGTATGGATGTTGGCAAATAGTTTTCCTAGCTGCTTCTAGTGGGCTTTCTGGAGACAGCTCATGAATGGCTGGGAGTGGGGAGGGTGAACTTGGTAAGCCACAGGGACTGAGACACCGATCCCACAGATGGGCAATGTGACAGCTGTCAAATGTAGATTTCCCAGTGAACTATTGGCTATAGGTTTGATTCTCCTGTGTGTGCTAGCTTCACATTGGGCTCTAAAGAGAAAGGAACAGCCATTTCTGATTTTACTTTCTTTTTTTCTGGCACATGCACTTAGGAAATGACATAACCTTCAAGGTTATGACAAATTCAAGTAAGACTCTGATAGGACAGGACTAGAAGGAGGAAATGGGTGTGCTCTGAACAGGTAAAGTTAAAGCAAGTTTAGGTCAGCAGAGGTGGAGGGGTGGTGGTTCTGATACATCACTCTCAAAGCAGTGTCAGACAAATTTCAATGCTGGGGAAGCCTGGGTTTCCTGTAGGCTCCAGGATTGTTTCTTTATGTATTGCCACTGAAGGGAGAAGCTATAGATAACGTGGAGCAGCCACAGGCAGAGAGAGAGGGGAGAGAGAGAGAGAGAGAGAGAGAGAGAGAGAGAGAGAGAGAGAGAGACAGAGAGAGACAGAGACAGAAACAGTGAGAGAGAGAGAAACAGAGAGAGAGAGACAGACAGAGAGAGAGAACAAAGACCTCCTAGTGAGGGGTGAGAGTCTGGAAATGCATCAGCCAGCAGGACAGGCTGCATCACTTCTTTTCCACTTTTGAATAAACCACTTCTATGGATGGCATCAATGGCGAGACTGGAGTTGGCTGTGTTGGTTGTTGGGCATTGAAGTTCACGACAGAATATGCAACTCCATCCACCTAAAATGTAAGAGCGGGGATCAGTGAAATCAGTGTCACAGGTCAGAGCCTCACCTCACTGGTGATCCAGCACCACCGTGCTGCCGTCTGGGGGGCCCTGAGCTTTCGGAGAAGGCTCTTCTCGTTCATCCTCTGCCTGCTGACGTCCTGATGTGTGACCATTAGAAGGGACAGACGATGCTGTGGATGCTATGGAATAGGCTAAGGCAGCACTGGGAATGAACACAGTGGAAATAACACAGCAACACAGGTGATTCTCACAGAACAGGGCTGAGTGACAGATGCCAGATGCATATGTGATGCATATATGCGCTCCTGACCACCATTGCTCTTTGCAGGAGAATGACAGGAAAGTATGTTTTGATGGCGATGTAGTTGTGAAGTAAGTTGGTTTGTAAGCTCCTTACATACTTGTTCAGCCTGTGAGAATTCATACATTATGAAAGTATCCTTATGATGTAAGTACTTTTCAGTCTATGTGTGTGCACTGTTGAAAGGTTACAATAATTAAATTTTGTCAAAATTATTATAAAATGGAGTAACCAGGAGCTCAGACTAATTAGAATAGAAATCATCCTTTGATGGTCAGAGCTGGTTGAGACTGAGGACGGAGAGGAGAGAATTCTCTGGTGCTTTTTGTTGTTTGTGCATTGTGCTGGGTGCTATGCACCTGTTAACTTGTTGAATTCCTTTAACCTCTTCTTAAGGTAGACAAAATGCCCATTTAAAAGAATTCAAGCGTCTTTTTTTCAGGTTTGACTTCCTTTTTTAAAAATTTTTACAAAATTTATTGAGAATTTCATACGTGCATATAAAGTGTTTTAATCAAATCCATGCCCACTCCCTCCCCTCCAACATTTCCCCCTCTGAAGAGGTAACCCTAAAATCTTTTAAGGATTAGGTACAAGCTTCCCAAATACTTTTGGCATTTTTTTTACTTTTTTAAAATCATTTTTAAAATTTTTAATAACTACGTGCTTAGAAGAAGCATTTCACTACAGATTTAACATATTCAGTAACACACTCCAGAGCAAGAGTACATCTCTTACACAAGTGGGTACAAGTTTCTAGGTTCACAGTTGAGTTAATAGTTATACAATATTGAACTCAGTATAAGCCCTGTAAGACATAAAATTGAATGAGTTTTTTTAACCTTTAAAAAATTCTCCATTTCATTTTAGAAAATATTGTTCCTTGCAGAAAGAATCATTGTCTTTGCTACTAACACTGAGATGTTGGCACATGCATCTCTAATCTGTATGCATCTGATTATTACTAGTCATAATCAGTTGCACTTAGACACTTGGGGCCTGTGTATGTCTATGAAGTCATCAGGTGGAGTTCAATGGTAATGTTTATCACCTCTACTAATTAGCATGACATAAATTTCCATGCTTCCTCCTCAAATTATCACACAGAACATCCCAAACCATCTTATTCAACTATACACCCACTTCCCAGATGGCACCCTCCCATAGCCTCCCTCCCCCCACTTGACCCCTTATGCTCTGATATCACTGCTACTGTCTGCTATGTTGTCAGCACCCTCAGCCAATCCCCACTACTTGCCCTTCTGATGAATCTAGTCAGCCTATCAAGTGTCTTTTAAAGGGCCAGAGAATATTAAGAATCACAGCCAGGATTTAAACAGAGGGGAAAATTCCAAAACATGCATTCTAGTATGAGACTTGTGGGAGATGGAAGCCCATCTCTCTGCTATAGCATGGAGGAATGTAGACTCAAGCTTGATCTCACAGCTGTGTCTCCAAGAATACTTCATTCTCAGTCCAGTGTGGTGGCCCACACTTTTAATCCCAGCATTTGCGAGGCTAAAGTAGGAGGATTTTTGTAAATTCTTAAGTCAGCCTAAGTTAGATAATGAGTTCTGGGACAGCATAAGATATATAGAGAACCTGTCTGGAGAAACAAGCAAGCAAACCAACCAAAAAAGCCCACAAATGCCACACTCTCTCCAGTGACATTTCCATGAGAAATTAGCCAAAGAAAGTGCTTACCTTGTCAGGAGACTTGTCAGAGGGGCCTGGACCTGGGGGGACAAGAGAAGAGTTACCAAGCATGGAAATTTGAAGCTGATTGAGGCTTTCTGATTTCTAACTGAAGGAGGTACCAGGTGGAGGTGGTTGGGGTGCCACGGGAGGTGGCCCATTCTCAGTTAAGGAATTTGCTTCCTATAGAGTCTCTGGTCCAGACCCACTGCATTAGTGTCAGAGAAGAGGCAGGGGAGAGTCATCTCTGATTTCTCCCAGTTCAAAGGGCCTTGTTTTTTATGTTTTTTTCCCCCAGATGTGCTCCAAAGACAAAGAGGGGCATAAAGGTCTACAGCACTCAGATCATCCACAAGACAAGGAATGTCTTGACAAGAGAGAATCTGTAATAGAGGTGGGAGGGAAGGAGTCAGGATGACCCTAGAAATATGGCTCTTTTAGCCTTGCCTAGAATAGATGGAGCGAGTCTCTCTTCAGAGGCATCTTAGGGGACTTTTCTGAGGCTAAGAAGTGTGTGAGGACCTATGAGACCCTTCGGGCTAGAAAGGGAAGATCCCCTGTACAGAAATTCAGGTAGAAGGGGGTGGTTTAAGAATCCAGGATCCCTGGCAGAGGCTACATGGTAGTAGGCACTGATTCTCACTGGGTGAGTGGCTTTACTTACTGCAGTTGGAGGCTGAAGGTGTGTCCTCTGTGAAATCATGCTGGTCACTTCCCCTGAATAAATATCAGACACTGTGAGCACCATTCCCATGCACAGGACCTTTGTTCCCTGAGTTGCAGGAGAGGCACTGTGTGCAGATAATTCCCTGAGCTCCTTGGTGTCAGTGCTGTCCATTCACACCGTGCTTGGTGCTGCCTCTCCTCCTTCCTCAGTCCTTAGTCTAAGTGTGATTTAGAAACACAGTGTAGGGGGTGGGGGGCTGGAAAGATGGCTCAGCGGTTAAGAGCACTGTGTTCTCTTGCAAAGGACCTGGGTTCGATTCCTAGTGCCCACACGACAGCTAACAACCATAACTCCAGTTCCAACACCCTCTTCTGACCTCCACGAGCCCTGCACAACATGGGTGCACTTACATGCATGCAGGGAGTACACTCATACACATAAAATAAAAATAACGAATTTTTGGAAACTAGAAATAGAATGTGTTTGCTCCTTTCCTGTTTTCTGGATGTCCATATTTGGTCTGTTTTATCCCCTGGTGCTGGGGATTACACCGAGGACAAGTGCCTTCATACTGACTATATCCCAATGCTTTGCTTCTGCACCTGTTTTGCCTTAACCCTTCTGGTATTTGAAGAGGTCCTGATGCCTCTACTGCGGCCCAGATGCTCTTCTTTCCCTGTCTCCCCCTCCTTCTCCTGCTGTGGTCAGCAGGGCATGCGACTTGCTTTCTCTTGCTGCTTTTTTAATCCTGTCATATCTTTTCCTTCTTGGTAGGCTTCCTGACTGGGGACTAGAGGAACATAAGTGGATCCTTTTGTCTAAACACAGAAATGCACTCCAACAAGGAGTCGGGGTGAGGGAGCCTAAGAGAGGGAGATTCAACCCTCTGGAAATACTGCTGGGACAGAGGTTCGGCCAAGCAGAGGGCAGAGCCAGCTCAGAGGCAGAAGTAAAGGAGTCCTTTCCCACTCTGAAGTATGGACCTTAAACTTGAATAAAATAGAAGAAGAAGGACTGACATACCTGCTATTCTTCTGGAAATAAAGGGAACAGGCCACGGCAGCCATCAGAGCCACTCCAGACAAAACTCCAACTACGATGCCAGCAATGGCCCAGCTTGAGAGGCCAGAACTTCCTTGCTCTGGATCAACGATGAGGGAAGTAAAGACAGGAAGGAATGAGGGTAAATATTTTACAATGGGGTGTTCTAGAGAATTCCTATCATGAGGTCATCTCTACGTCTTCCTCTGAGGAATTGCTTTTCTGCAGGAAGGTGATCACCTGACATGATGTATCAGGTGATTAGCGTTTCCTACTCATTGTATTTCTAAAGTTGGTTCTCTGTATTTCTTCAATTCCCTGAATTCTGTCAATTTCATACTGGCAGTCATTTGAAGGCTTTGAAAATGAAAGAAAGGGTGATTGCTGTTTCCTATGTTAAAGGGGAATATTTTCATGGTTACATCTTTTTCTCAGTGTAGTTGTGGTAGCCCTGAATGTGTGTGGGCCTCTCAGGTCTCTTACGGCCAGGGCATAATTGTCAGGAAGCATAGGCTAATGAGCTTTCAATTTACTACCTCTTTTGTACAGAGACCACAATTTCCACGGCCTCCAGTAGAGTATGAAAGCATGCCAAATTCAAGACAGTTTCCTTCTCACAGGTGACTGAGGTTGGAGAAGTCACCCTCAACCTTGTAGAGACTGTTATAACTGATACACTCTAAGACATGTCCCCTTCTCTGCATCCATGGTGATCAGATCACATGTGTATGAGGGCTCTGCCAGGCTCCTGTTCCTGTCCCACTTTCCTTCCCAGGCATATTCCCCCATTAATACCTTGCCTGTGTAATCCTATCACGGCTGCATGTCAGAGAATGAAGATTGATAACCTCCTGGGATTGAAACTTTGCATTTAGCACCTTTCCCTCACTGATGCATAGTTAGTAGCCATGTAATTGTGGTTTAATCTTCTGGGTGATATCTCTTCTTCTTCCTCCTGGCCCCCCAGGTAGTACCTTTAAACCTCCTTATTCTTTATTATAACCACTTGAGGTTCATCCCTCAGTGTTGTAATCAAGGGTATTATCATTGCTAATGATAGCCAATGGTGTATAGTCCTTATGATGTGCCAGGCCCTGTGTTTTTATCTCATTTGATCTATTCAATAATTCTATCATGTAAAAGCTATTTCCATTTTAATGATAAAAAAATACTCAAATCTATGGTAAATCAGAGGTGGACCTGGGTACCTGATACCAAGATTAACATCAAAGGTAGCTAAGGCAGCTAATATTTACAAAACACTTCCTGTATGTGTGGCATCTTTCCAAAGGGCTACATGATTATTGCATTAAGTCTTTAAGCCAATACCACAAAGTTGGTATGCTTATTGCAATATTAAGTTGAGGAATCTGAGGGTCAAAGAAATTAAGAATCACGGGAAAATCTTTACAGCTATATATATTTGTACTTTATAAGGATGATTTCAAGTCAACAATCTAACTTTATAGTTTGAGTACAGAAAGGAAACAAGCTTGGGGGCTGGAGAGATTACTCAGTGGTTAAGAACACTGGCTGCTCTTGCAGAAGACCCCCATTCAAATCCCAGTACCCACATGGTAGCTAACAACCATCTGTAACTCCAGTTCCAGGGGATTTGATGCCCTCTTCTGACCTCCCCAGGGCATTGTACAACACAGGTGTACTTACATACATGAGATAATACACTCATACACATAAAATAAAAATAATAAAATATTTAAAAAGAAACAATTTCTTAGAAACAGAACATAGAAAGTTGTAACCGTGAAGAAACACAAAACTGAATGCATGTATTAGTAATAAGACTGAATCAATAGAAATGTTTGACAAAACATAACATCTTTTAATGATTAAAAACACTGAAACTAGGGATAGAAGATGACTGTAGTGTACTAAAGGTCACAATGAAAACCTACAACTGACATTATACTCTCTGTTGGATGTTAAAAGCTTTCCCTCTAAGATCAAGAAGAACACAAGGATGCTTCCTTTGCCATTTCTGTTCAATATACTGTTTGATGTCCTGGATGTAACAATTAGGAAAGAAAAATTAATAAAGGCTGCCAAATTATAAGGGAGTAAAATTATATGTCTGCAAATGATGTGAACTTAACATCCTAAGTATTCTACAAAAAGGTGTTAGAACGAATGAGAAAAATGAGTGAAAACAAGGGCTTACAAAATGAGCATGCCCAGATCAGTTGTATTTCTATATACCAACATTAAGAATGAACAATTTGATTTCATTTTTTTGTTACTGTTCCTGGCAGTTCTGGGGATTAAACCTAAGGCCTTATGCATGTTAGGCGAGTAGCCACAGCCTTAATCACAAACAGTGTGAAAGTAATTAAGAAAGTATTTATTTCTGAGAGCAACAAAAAGAATAAAATAGTTGGAATTAACTTCACCAAGAAGAAACAATACTTACACCTAGAAACCACCAAAAGTTGCTGGAAGAAGTGTCAAACGAAGACGTAAATAGATGGGAAGCCATCTGATGCTCCGGGCTGGAAGACTTAGCCTCATCATTACTGCTGCACTAGTGGTCAAACCCAGGATCTTGTGCATGCTACATAAGTGCTCTACTAAGCTATATCCCCAGCACCCCAGGTTTCTATTTTTATTTTGGAACAGGGTTCCACTAAGCTGTTCATATTGGCCTTAAACTTCCTATGGAAACAAAGCACTCTTAGATCTTGGGATCCTCCTGCCTCAGCATCCCAAATAACTGGAATTTAAGACATGTGCCATGTTGCTGAAAAGAAGACTTAATTTTTTAAAGATGATAATATTAGTGAAAGTGACATATAGATTCCATACATCAAAACCTCAGTGGTATTTTGTACAGAAATAGAAAAAATCAATTTTAGGATTCTCGTGGAATCTCAAGCGACCACAGATCACTAAAAGAATCCTGAAAAAGGAGAATAAAATTGGAGGGCATACTTCCTGATTTCATAGTTTAGTTCAAAGCTGCAATAATAAAAAGTGTGTGGTAAGGGGAAAAAGGCAGACATACAGATCAATGAAATGGAATGGAAATCCTAGAAATGCTGACATGTATTTTCCAATTATTAAATTGAAAAATCAATTGATACATAATAATATGTGCTTTGGGGGAACAGTGTAATACCTTTGTACATATTATGTAATGTGTAGTCAGATTAGAGCAGTTGGCATGTCCATCACCCCACTCATTTTTTCTTTATTTGGGGCATATTTTGTCTGCTAGTTTTTTGAAAGACAGAATTAATTGTTGTCAAGCAGAGTCATTCTGCTGAGTTATAGAATATTAGAAAGCATTCTTGCTGTCCAATTGCACCTCTTTGACCAAATGGTTTTTGACTAGACTGCTAAGACTGTTCAATGGTGAAAGAATAATCCTTTTGTCAACAAATGATCAGGGATGTTCAGGCAAAAAATGAAATAAAGCCTTCATCTAGTATCATATAAAAAGTTAATGCACATGGATCAAAGGCCCAAGTATTAGAGCTAAAAAAATGAACATTTTAGAAGAAAACAGGATGAAAGTCTCACAAAATTGGATTTAGCAATTATTTCTTTGCTATAACACCAAATGCATAGGCAGCAACAAAATAGATACACGAATGTTAGCAAAATAAAAAAATATTTGTGTATCAAAGGACATTATCAGCCATATGTCCTGGACACAAACACATATGAAGTCACATAGGCACATGCACATGTACACACACACACACACACACACACACGAATTGAAAGTATCTGTTGAAGAGATGGCAAAATCCCTATGATCACTGTGCCATTTTTCACAATAGCCAAGGCATGGAGGCTAAGTTGCTATTAGTGGGTAAATGAGTGGAGAAAACTGGTCATGTATATACACTGCAAAGCAACTGATCCGTTAAAAAGAAGGCAGTCTGTCACTGGGATTACATGAATGAACCTGGAGGATATGATGCTAAGTAAAATCAACCTGAGAAAAAGCACAAATATGGCATGATGCCACTTGAATGTGAGGCCTAGAGTTGTCACAGGAAATACAACAGTGATCATAAAGAGCTGTAGAAGGAGGAATAGGTTTACAGAAATATTTGGAGATAGATAATGGTGATACACAACAAGAAGATGTGCTTTATGACACGGAACGGTGAACGGTCAAAATGGTAACCTTTATTGTTTTACCACACACTGAAAAAATGTTAACAGATTAAAGAATGTTGTGGGAAGTCATACTGGAAGTGCTGGTCTCAGGATAAGAAACTCAATACAGTTGGTGCTTTAAAAGCCACAGATTTGACATCCGTGGCTCAACCAACTTCAGATCAAAAGTATTCAGATAAAAATTATGTGCACAGTGAATAATACAGTCTTCTGCTCTGTAATTATTCCTCATTTAATGTAGTCTGATGAGTGTCTATGCAAGTGTTTTTTTTCTTTTAATCATATTTGTGTTTTATTCTTCAGCAGAGTTTGATGTATGTCTTGTCTAGGCCCATATTCCAATAGTATAATTTTGAGTTTCCCTCTTGGATAGCATTTTTAAAATAAATACTTTATTGAGAATTTCATATGCATACAAGGTGTTTTGATCAAATCCATGCCAGCTCCCTCCCCTAAAACTCCTCCCATATCTCCCCATCACTTTTTTCCTGACAACTTCATGTACTCTTTCTTCTTTGATTTATTCTTTTTTAACTTTTTTTTTTATGGGGCTTTTGGCTACTCTAACATTCCCTTTTCTGAAGAGGTAATCCTAAAATCTTTTAAGGATTAGATAAAAGCTCCCAAATATTTTCCACATTTTTGGCCTTTGGATTAGAGCAGGTTGCTAAGAGGCCCAAGGACATTGTGAGTTTTAGCCAAGTAACTGGCTACTTTTCTTTGGGGTCTTTTTACCCTAACTGCCTAGCGAATTCCTACCTCCTATTCTTATCACACTATCCTCTGAAGAGGTCACTCAAATTGCCAATAGGGAATTTGGGACGCAGTCCGCTCTGGCTTCTTCCATGCTGAACAGGGCCAGAGGGTGAGGCAATTGGAGTACCCCTCCAGTGTGTCTATCTAAAAGACTCCCAAATTGCATAACTCTAATCTGAAGGAGGAAAAGAAAGTCTTTTAATTGTGTATAGG